GCATTAGGACTTTCTTATTTATAATATAGGCCACACACGTGTGTTTGAAACTAAATATAAGCATTTTCATCATGGTTTTACTTATTACAAACATATTCTTTCGCCATCTATACACATTGAGGCCCTTCTTTTGGGTTAAAATGATCTATAATAAATTTGTCTTTCTTGAGTTTGGGACTATTATGTGTTTAAATAACTTAAAAGAATAAAACTAAATATAAAATAAGATAAAACGCAAAATATTTTTGTGTTTTTAATTCTAATTTCGTCGGAAGAAAGATTTTCCAAAGATAGATTTTTTTCCCTTGTCCCCTGGTGTTTCTAATTCTAATTTCGTTGGAATTGATCAAAACTCCCTAAAATGTGCAATTTCTAGAGGGAATTGGGCCATTTTAACAAGAAATGCGCGCGAAATTTGAGGTTTTTAGGCACTTTCAGGGGATGAAAGGGCATTTATAAAGGGATGAGGAAGATTTTTCAAAGATAGATATTTTCCCCTTGTCCCCCAGTGGTTACGCAATCGGGCAGCATAAATCAAAGGAGTTATGACAGTTTTTGAAGTGGAGAAGGGGTTGCAGGGTGTTGTGAGTCTGGTCATTATGATATCTTCCTTTTTATTCTTGTCTTTATTTTCCCTTTTTCTTTTTCTTTCCTTTTCTTTTCCTCTTCTTTCTCTTTCCCTCCCTCTCCCCTCTTTCTTTTCCCTTATTACCCAGCCTGGTACGACCGCTTGGTCAGCCCGGAAAAAACCGTCAGGAAGGGGCAGTTTCCCCCCCCCCCGCGCCTGTTACGACACTGGCTAACACGCCAATCATCCCCTCCAATGAAAAATATTTTTCTACGCCACTGCATGAACAATGTTATAATCCCTTGTTGTCACCTTACATATTTTAAAACGTTACCATCCTAGTCCGATGCAACCTGTCATATTCCCATCTAGCCCTTCCATAGATTTATTACCACTTAGATAGCTGCATCCGCCCTGTAACCTTATCATTATATATTTTTGCAATAATTGTTCTCCACGTGCAATCAAATTGACGAATGAATCATTAGATTTTGAAGAAATGAATTGTGGTTTAATATAAAACACAACATGAATTAGGCATATTTGTAATATTTAACATTTATCTTTTAGGTGGGTTATCGTTATTTTGTTAATTATACTCTCTATTATGCCGGTGATGATATACTTACAAGTTAAGATTTTTTAGCAGAAATCGGCTTTACAGTTAATATGTGCAGATCTAAACCCCAGACAATCTCTCGCATACTACTCTGCCGTAATTTGGAAAAAGGCATTAACTCCACTTTTTGAGATTTTTGGATTTTTGTTTCCATGGCATCCTATAGATGTAATCTATCATGTGAATTGATCATATACCTCCAAAAATGTCCAGAAATATGAAATAAATATTATATTTACGCATTAACTCCAATCCATGAATGCAGAATAATTTGGAAGAAGGCATTATCTCCACCAAACAATGAACAGATCATAATGAACCAATCACAGAAGACAATTACGCATAGTTAATTAGTCATGATAGCTTGAAAATGCACATAATGCCTAGCTTTACTTCTGTTTAAAAAAAAATGGCATATTAAAAAATCTTCTACCACATGGACTAAATTTCGTGAAATATATAATTGACACTGGCATAAATTATTTGTTTGTCAGAAATATTGTAATTTGGCTACGTAAGATACACATTTCACTGGAAAAACTGGAGTTAATGCCTAACTTCAGATTTTTCACGCACCATTGACTCCTGTTAAAATTTGGAATAGTGCATTATCTCCATTTAAATAGGGTTAAAGAACAAAAATCACCATGAAAATTATTTAATATGTTTTTTAATTATATGTTTAATATATTTGCCAAAAAAATTTACTAGAATTCATTTCCAGTACAAAAAGCTAACGACAAACGCGTTTTGCTCAATAACTCAAAACTAGGATTTTGGAGTTAATGCCTTTTTCCAAATCACGGCAGTATAGTATAGAGGCCTATAGTCCAAAACCTTGTTGCAAATCCCAGCCCACATAAGCCTAGCCTAT